CAAAGTTTCGAGTCAAAATTCGAAAATCAGTTTTTCTGATATTTCTAAGAATCAAGGTCTTTATAGCTCATTTTGACCTACATAATGAACATAGTCTCAATTCATAAGTGATTTATTAGTTTGAGAATTTCCTTCATTCGATAAAATCCAGTTATTGCTTCTTTCTTCGAACTTACATTTTGCAACGTATAATAGTGGCACAAATCAGAAAAAAAATCTACCCTTAAAAGAAGATATATCATTATGATTTTGTTAACTATTAAAAATGTTGAATAGGCCTGTAATCTTAGTCACTGAGACCGAAGGAAAAGTTTGGCGAATTCTAGTTAATCTTATACAAAATTCAATGTTTCTTCATAAAGGTTTTCCAAGTCTGTTTGACTAAGATATCAATCTAATTGAAGGAGAAAAAAGTGTTTGAGTGTACCTAAGCCTTGTAACTTCGCCACTCATGCCAAGTCTATTCGCTTGATCCTGGTTCAATTTTTTATCTTTGAGTGTGTATATCTTCAGAACCTATTGAAGAACAAAGGGTTAATATTATTTATTTATTTATTTATTTATAGATCCAATTGTAAACAATGAACATACAAATGATGTTATTGAGATTCCAATTGAAACAGATAATGCAGAAATAGAACAAATAGATCAATCCGTAAGTTCTCCTGAACAACATAATAATGACGAACAACGCCAAACAATCATTCCAATGGTTCAAATTAATTCAGTCATAAATAATAATCATAATGAAGAAGAAGGTTAGTACTAAGATCCAAGAAAAAGAAAAATAATTTTTTTTTATTAACTTCTTTTTCTTTTTTATTACAGATCAATCGAAAGTAGAAAGTTCCGATAATATTAATGAACAATTATTATCAACAGATTCTTCTATAACGAATGATGTATCTTCGATAAAAGATACAAATGAAGAAGAGCGTAAGATTATTATTATTATTATTTATTTTTTTGATAAAAATAATTTTAATTATTTTAGATAATTTAGAATTAATTGAAGCACAAAAACAAATTGAATTACTTCGTGAACATTTAAATGAAACAAATGGTAAAATAAAATAAAATGCAAAATATGGATAAAATATTTTTTTTTTGTTTTTGATTATTACTATTTTAGAACGACTTGTTTCTATGGAAGATGTACATCGAAATGAACAAGAAAGATATCGTTCATTAACATTAGAATACGATTTAATACGTGATGAACTTGTTCAATTAAAACAACGTTCAATAAAAGAAAAGAATGATAATAATCAATTACTTGAAAAACAACAAGTTGAACTTGAACAATTATCAAAATCTATTGTATCAAAACAGAGTGAACATGATCAATTACTTAGTGTTTATCTCTGTTTTTTTCTTTCTTGTTATTTGCTCATTTTTTTTCTTTTCTTTTGTCTTTTATCATGGTGAGATTTCTTTTCTTTCTTTCTTTTTCACTGCAGAAACTAAATTTTCTTTTCTTTTTTTTTTCTGTGCTAAACAAACACAAAAAGAAAAACACCTACGAATAGATAAATGTGTATGTTTGTGTGCGTATTGTACAAATAGAATTGCGGTTTGTCGCGTTTTTTTTCCTCGCTCTTTCTTTCGTTTGTTCGTTTCATACAAATCATCTTCTTTTCTGTTTTCTTTTTTGTCACACATTTTTTTCATTTAAGTTGTCGGAACACTATTGATGATGCAATTTTTATAACTGCTTGAAACCGATATGAAGAAAAAAAAGAAATGCACGGATTGTTGTCTTTCAAAGAAAATTCAGGAAGATTTCTATTAAATGTACAATATTGTGTTGACAAAAAAAAAATAGAATAAGTAATATTAGATTTTGGAAAAAAAATTACAATTTTAAATATAAAACAAACATGCTTTTATGTAATGATTTTGACTGAATATTACAGTGAAATTTTAAAATGATGATTTCTAGTTTAGAAATTAATTCAATTATTTCATTTTTATACTATGATTAAAAAGAAAGAGATTGTCCTCTCAATAGATAACTGTTTTCATGAGAAACCGACATGAATAAGAAAGTCATCATTCGGTTTCGATTCACAGTGTTACAGAAAAATGATATTGATATTTAAAGGCAAATACTTATTTTCAGGAGCATAGACATATAGTTCATACTACAATAACCACAAACGCTGTGAGGGCCAACATGATCCTCTGACGGACGCCGTCCTCTTGGTCCTCACACTGGATAAAACAATGTTACCTTGCTATTTTCTTTTCTGAGCAAGCCACATATTTTTCGATTTTCTTGTTCTAGTCATCTTTTCTATATTTGATCTATTCATACATATTCAAAGAT